CGAGCTTCATTCATTTTCACTAGCGAACCTGAAACACAAAAATAAAGCTAATTAACATAATTTTAAATTAAATTTTAATTTATTCAATTTATAATTAAAATATATAGCATTTTCTTCTGACAAAAATTTGAATTATGACATAAAACTCAATAAAAAAATCTTGTTTGTATTGCTAGTTAGGAGTCGAATTATAGATTAAACTTTGTTTCTTTATTTAGTATTGCAACTGCTTTCTTTTTCTTTTTTTTTTACTTTTTTATATTAAATAAATATTTTTTTATTTTTACTTTATTATTATCTATTTATTTAGTACGAGAGAGTTTATTGGAAAGTGGAAATTGCAATGTCATACAAGTGTCCACGCTGGATTATATTAATTTAACAAAAACAAAGAAAAACATTGCACTGTAATAAAATATTGATAGAATCTAAAAATAAATTTTTTTAATGTTATTTATTACAACAATTTGAAACTAATAATTATCATTTAATTTAATAAATAAAAATGTATAAATTAATAATAATAATTATTAATTTTTAAATTAAATAAATTTATGAATTATTAATTTTAAATTATTATATCCAACGGTCTTTTAATGTGATTTAAAGGAAAATAAATTAGATGTACCATCAAAACAATTATTTGTTTATGGCTAACCAAAAAGTGTTCCACTACTAATTTTCTTATAAATTAATTTACAGGTCTTGGGTTTTATAATAGTGAGAATTCAACATTTTCTTGAGTAATCCAAAATAAAAGAAAAAAAAAATTAAAAGAATTAAAAAATAAAAAGAACAATGTAATTCGGCTAGGTTATTAGCTACAATTATGGGTTCCAAGTGCTAGTTTTGCTGTGGTAAGCTTTTGACTATCAATGTCAGATGCTTCTTCCCGGTAAGCTTGTGTTCTATTTCTTTGAGGCTTAATATTTCTAAGACATACTCTAAAAATGGATCTTGTCCTTCTACAAGCGCATGAGCAAAGAATTTTTTCATTTGAGGAGCGACGTTCTCTGGTTGAAGGCCCTGTGTACAGTCCCTAGCAAACTCAAGTGTCTCCCGAACTGATAGAAATATGTCTGGAATTGAGAAGAGAAGTAAGAAAACAGATATAGAAAATTTTTATTGAGCTTCAAAAAATTGGACAGATCTGTGCATAATATCAAAACATATGTAGAGATGTTTTTTCCTGTTGAAAAGCAGGAATGTTGTTCCCTTGTTTTGATTTCTTCTGATAATCAGTCCATATATATTGGCCTTACCTAATGCTTTAGATGTAATAACACTGATATAGAAATTTCCTAACTAGTTTCAAAATCTTTTTGCAAGTTGCAGGGAACTTACTTGTTGAGGTGGCCACTGATGTATGCAGTGAGTCGGCTAAGATGAACTTCATATGCATATTTGTCATTGTACATGACTTCTCCTTTCAAACTGGAATTCTTGCTTGCTTTGGTTCTCCCTGCTAGAACTTCAAGAAGAGTACTCTTTTCACTGCCTGTAAGTTTTTTTTACAGGTAATTAGATTCACAAATCCTTCTTACATAGGCTTGTTTTAGAAGTAAGAATTTCTTGGGCTAAATAGAGGTTGCATCTTATCTAACAAACAATGCTGATTTTGTACAACATAGTCTACTGTTTCTATTTTTCTTTTCTTTTCTTTTCTTTTTTTTTCAATTTTAAGTTATGTGTGTTGGTCCATAACATGAATCTTGGTCAATTCAAGTGAAAATCCTAAAACTATATTTTTTAGCTTACCAACTATATTTGCTTACCTGGTGGACCAAGTAGAAGGGCCAGAGAACCTGGCATGATGTAGCCATCAACTCCCTTAAGAATCTGTATCCTTGTTGAGTTCCTGCCTTGAAACTGAGCCTTGAAAGGCCCTTAAAGGAATTCCAACACCTTGTTCCCAAATGTCTCATAGTCCTTTTCTGATCTTTCAAACCCTCTCCAATACTCTATGCCAGAAAACCTTAACCTGCAAAAAAAAAAAAAAAAAAAACTGCATGGAGCATGCTTAACATTGTTAAATAATTAAGTGAATGATTTTTTATTTTGGGATCATTTTGGTTTAGTTGTTAAAAACAAACAAACCAAGTTGAGCCAAACTTCAACATATTCAGGTATAGATTGATTAAAATAAGGTTCAAGTATTGAGTATGAACCGACTTGCTTTTTGTCTCTAATTATTATATTTATCCATTCATTTTCAAGGGTATGAGACTAATGCAAACAGCCGCCTCTTGAGTAAGATTGCAATTAAGCTTAATTAATACATGTTAATTTATTAACTAAATTGAAATCCAAGATAATGAGGTGTATGAAAAGGGAAGACTCTATATGTCACAATAAAAAATGTGTAACAGACAAAAGCAGAGCCTCCGCCCAAGCAAAAACAAAGATTCCTATGTCTTAGACATATAATTCCGAGGAAGTGCTTAATTTGGCCCACACAGCTCAAAATGAATATATTTTCTACTTAAGATAAAAACTATGGAAATTAATCTTTGCATGGATCCAGCAAATTCTGGTGTGAAAATAGCCACTCCTGCCTCTAGTATGTATTATGTATGAATAAACTATCAGTAAATATCAATGGAACTGTGACATATATATGTGCAATACCTGTCTCGGAATTGGGGGTGTAATTTTTGCCATAACACCTAACAAACAAAACGATCCTTCAACAAATACTCCATCCCCAAGAGCTCCTCACTTTTCTTCCCAACCCCATTGCCTTCACTTTCTTCTTCTACCTTTACCTCTTCTATCTCATCATTGAACACCTTTCCTGCCTCTTCATGCTCTCATATATTCTCAGCGCAACATGACTCACCGTCTCTGGTGAGGCATTCCCAATTCTTGCTCTGTCCTCTGGTGAGGATCCGGGGAGGAAAACCGGTCCATTTATGGGACTTGACATTGGCGTTGGGGTTTCTTGAGAGAAGTTTTTGATGGAATGTTCACTGGAATGAATTTGGCTAAGCTCATAATCGTCATGAACCCACCACATGTAGCTCGGAGGAGGATGTGGAGACTTGTAATTTGCCATTTGATCTTCACTCAAGAAATTCATGTCTCAACGGGGTTAACACATAGAAAGCTTTGTGTTTAGACCTATAAATCATGCACACAAGTCTATAGTTGAAGTTGTAACATGTTGGTTTAACTTGTTTATTGAGTTTGCTTGTGAACAAAAATATTAATTTGTTTGAACTATTGAAAGTAAACTAGGAAAACTTCAAGAGTGAAAGGCCGGCCTTAAAGCTCCATATGGAAGTTTTTGGTTGAATGGTGACAAAAAGATATTGAGAGCCTAACAACTATTTCTTTTATATGTTTAGCTGACTTTTATTTGATGCATTTCCTACGTTGTCACAAAAAAATCAAGAATAGGCAACAATGATAATATACAATTCACCACAAAAATTCAAGACCTATCTTTTACCAAGTACTAATTAGCTACTTAATTATATTTGAAGAGGAGGTTTTTCAGAAGTAGGTGAAGTATTTCGATGATCTCATTCAAAAACCATATATCCCCTCCACAACTCTGCGGTTAGTTATGGAAGAGCTCTGACCCTCCAATTATTTAAGCATGCTGAAACCCACCCAAATGCCCAGACAAAAAGAATGTTGAAAAGTAACAGTGGGCACAAACTTGTTTTCAGAAAGAGAGAACCTAAGTAGGGATCTGATCACATATGGGGCCTATTCCCAAATAAATAAAATATCCTTTTTCCTTTATTCTTTTAAAAAAACATTAAGAATATGCTCTCTGATGACACCCTCCCCCCCCAAAAAAACAAAATGTATAAAAATAAAACATTAATATGTTTTCTTCATAAAACAGAGAAAGAAACTCAATCAACCTCTAGTAAATATATATGAACCGCCTGCGTAAATTAAGCATCCTATAGATAAAGCATGTTAATTTGCTGTTTTCATCAAAATGAAGCCACTAAGGAAATCTTTGTAATGGGTGTAATTTTCATTTGGTAGCAGGTACAGAAATTGATAGCAAAAGCATGGTTTACTTCTATCCATCCCATCTCCACAGTCCCTTAACTTTATCCACTAGAATGCTACGTGCATCCTCCACATTCTCAGAAAAAGAAGCCAATCCCTAATGGAACTGGTCGGTTTGTTTCCACTATTATAATCTGAGGTACAGCAAATTTAAACGTCATGTACAGCGCCCCCCACTACTGATTCCTAGTATAAAAGCAGCCTACATTGCAAATTGTTCCCTCAAGTCTCTCTTCTCTTCCAACTTGTTCAGCGGTCAGTGGTCACAGATACAACTCCACTCTTTCATTGTTTCAACTTTCAACTTTCAACTTGTTGCCCATAATTTGCTTAAGTTTTTGTCAAAATCCCAAAGTTAGAGCCTGGCTACATCTAGTGTATAGGCCTTACCTTACCCCATCATTTGCTCTATGTAACTTCTAGTCGGACATTTTATCATCAGAAATAGAACAAAAGCAATACTCCTACCATGTCATTCTGTCAGCTCCTTCTCTTTCTTTTCTCTATCTCTTCCTTCTTCTTTGTTTCCATTCAAAGCAGAGAGTTGCACATTGTGTCTCAAATTTCACTTCCTCCTATGCCTGCGCCTGAAATTGCAGCTGCTAGTCCAAGTTATAATGCAGAGTCCCCTAAAATTCCTGCAGTCTTCAATGTGCTATCTTTTGGTGCTGTTGGGGATGGCATTGCAGATGACACTCAGGCATTCAAGTTGGCATGGGACATGGCTTGCCAGAATGACTTAGCTGTTCTCCTTGTTCCCAGTGGGTATTCCTTCATGTTGCTGTCTACAATCTTTACAGGACCCTGTAAAAATAACCTTGTGTTACAGGTAATGATGCTAGTAGTTGTGTGTTAAAAAGTTATGAGATTTATTATAAAACTAATTCAGACTTAACATTTGTTTATGGAAATTTAAAGATTGATGGCACTATAATGCCACCTGACGGACCTGACTCTTGGCCAAGAAATAGCAGCAAAAGGCAGTGGTTGGTCTTCTACAGAATCAATGGAATGTCTATGCAAGGAGGCGGCCTAATTGATGGTAGGGGAGAAAAATGGTGGAATCTTCCCTGCAAACCTCACAAAGTACGCTTTCCTAACCCTCTCTGGTTCATTTTCCCATCTCACCCTGGTGTCATCTTGAATTGAGGACCCTTAACGTACTGTACTTTTAAAATCCTCCATAAATTATATGCAGGGAATTAGTGGAACAACACAGCCTGGACCTTGTGACAGCCCAGTTGTAAGCACAAAAGCAAAAACTTTTCCTAAATTTAATTACCATAACTAGAAATATGACTTCTTGGTGTGTAAATGCAGGCCATAAGGTTTTTCGTGAGCTCCAACTTGACAGTAAAAGGACTTCAAATAAGGAACAGCCCTCAGTTCCATTTTAGGTTCGATGCTTGCCACGATGTTCATGTAGAATCTCTGAGTATCAAAGCGCCTGCTCAAAGTCCCAACACAGATGGGATTCATATAGAAAACACAAACAATGTTCAGATATATAATTCAGTCATATCAAACGGTGACCCATCAATCTCCATTACTTTTTTTCACCATTAATGAACCCTAGAAGCAGAAGAATAACACCGTTCGGTTTTCTCCCAGGTGATGACTGTGTATCAATTGGAGCTGGTTGCTTTAACGTTGACATAAAGAATGTGACTTGCGGTCCAAGTCATGGTATAAGGTGATTATCATCTTGAACCATGCAGAACAGAAAGACATTGGAAAATTAAAATTGAGGCTATTTCCTGTTGTCTAGTCTTTACTCTCTAGTCAAATGGACTAAGAAAGAATCCTAACAAATGTTCTATGATTTGTGCAGTATTGGCAGTCTCGGGTTTCACAACTCTCGGGCTTGTGTTTCAAACATCAGTGTCTCCGAATCAGTCATCAAGCAGTCCGACAATGGCCTCCGGATAAAAACGTGGCAAGGAGGTTCTGGCTCTGTGTCAAATGTTGCCTTCCATAACATTCACATGGATGCAGTTCGGAATCCCATCATCATAGACCAATACTACTGTCTCACCAAAAATTGCAGCAACCAGACCAGTGCAGTTCAGGTCAAGGACATTGTGTATAGCAACATAAAGGGAACCTATGATGTGAGAAGCCCATCAATGAATTTTGCCTGCAGTGACTCAGTTCCATGCACTAACCTAACTCTGACAGAAGTAGAGCTGCTTCCTGCTCAGGGCCAGACTCGGGCAAATCCATTTTGCTGGAATGCTTATGGAACCGTTCAGATACTTACCACTCCACTGGTATACTGCTTGTTGGAGGATATACCACAAGCCTTTAAACAGAACTACGTTGATAGTTGCTAATTAATACCAATTAAACATAATGCAAAACACCAAATGGATGATAAAATTCAGTTCCTTAGATTAGGAACATGCAAATGTACATGTATGTACAAGCCTCTTAATCATAAATAAGTCTGGAAGTTGACAACTTCAATTGGCTTCCTGCAAAGCAAAGCATTTGCTTTTAACCCTATAGAAGTTGAAACCAACTTCCAAGAAACGTCACAAGCGCTTCCAAAAAAAGCTTTGTTGGCCTTGATTCAACTTCTGCAGCGAAGAAGTTGTTCACAAGCTAGGCCATATGGTGACAATAGACATTCCAACTTGAGACAGGAATTCTTGCATTACTTTGGCAATTAGTAGGAGAGGAAAAGAGAGCAGTAGCAGCAAACTGGAATTTTATTCATATGCAAACACAAAACATTTTGAGACGTTTTCAGGCAACTAAGGAAGCCTTCAGAAAAAGACAAGACATTACATAAGATTCATATGGCAGAAATGCAAATTTTCCATTAACATACATGTATCTGTTTATTAAGAACTTTTGATAAACATGCATTCATCGACCCTCACATACATGGCCAGCAACACCAGCATGGTAGTTTCCAGGACATAAACATGTGAATTGCAACCATTAGGTTACTGACATAAAGAAGCAAGTACCTCCAACAAGGAAGCAGCAAATTGCATTTGAATCTCCTCATCTATGGTCAAGAAGAGAGGCACGTGCACAAATAGTGATTTGGTTCCATTCTGCTCCGCAAAGCGGAGGGAGTGATAGTAGACATAATTGCAAACAAACCGTCCTGCATCATCAGAAGTCATCACATCATATCCCTTCTTTGACAAGGCCTTTGTTATCTCCTCAACAGGAAGGGTAGTCTGCATAGAGTTAAGAAATCCTTTTAAACAGAGGAATTAACATAAAAGCATGAAAGTTCGTAGCCATGTGAAATAAAAAAAAAAAAATTCTCTTAAGACAACTCCTTACAGATATCTGAGGACGTAAGAAAATGACATAAATTACTACTGCAATATTGGGCCACTGGCATTAAGAAGAATGTTTTAATTTGAAATATGTAACTCAACTCAAGAAGTCAGAGAACTTAAATTTCAAGTGGTAAACATGATAGTAACTCAAGCAGGTCATCTTAAAAGGAAAAGTTGAAACATAGAATTGATTGTAAAATTATGAAATCGTTGTAGATAGAAATAAATGAATGAATAAATGAATGAATGAATGAATGAATTGAATGAATGAATGAATTGTGGAGTTACCCCTCGTATGTGTGTAATTCCACCATCTGCAGGAATAATGGGTACTTTCTGCAAAAGTTAAGAAATGTTCAAAGAAATGGCATAAAGAGGAAAGGAAAGGGTTGATCTACAAAGAATGGTTGCATAAGAAGCTTAAGACATGCATCTAACCTGAGGTTTCCATCCCAACTCATCAGGACACCGAAAAGTAGCTTCATTGACAGCTTGATGCTCAATAGCAAATCTAGTTGCACCACTATTAACTCCAAAATGTACCTGAAGGAAAGTTATCAGAACTACCAAGAAAAATCCAATACATGAATTCCTAAATTAATAAGTTCGCTGCATCAAAGTGAACATTTGTTGACAGAATCTCTACTGAGAAGTAAATCAAATAGCCCTCCACTGTTTTATTTGAATAATGGCAAAGCAGCGAATCCAGCAAAAGGCTAATTAAGGTAACCAACACAGTGATAATAGACAATGAAATACGCATTTGTGTCATTGAATTAAGTAAAATACATAAAAAAACAAGGACTTTTTCCATTGTTTTCTATTAATCTCTTCTTTTATAGACTGTATGTATGATGTACAAAGAAGGAAGTTAGGCACATAAATCCTCCAACTATCCAAGCCAATTAGAGACGATCATCAACAAAGAATAGATGATTGCTACATTGCCAAGCCATTGCGAGAAATATGCACTTTCCAGTAATCGTCAAGGAAACCCTGAAGCTGACATAAAGGCAAATAAGCAAGTATAATAAATTAAAGGCAGATGAGTGAGCAACTAACCCAAATAGTTTTTCCAGAACTGGAAGATTGGGAATCCTTCCCACTTAAGACAGATTGCAAAGTCTGATATAGAGTTGAGAGCGCACCCTGTCCTGCAGTCTCAAGAACAGTGCAACTTCCAAGAGTCAGGCCTTTCGCCAAACCCTTCTTCTTTGTGTATTCTTTCAAATTACAGACAATTGTCTCGGTTGGATTCTCCGAAACTCCATGGAATTTCTTAAAACCAGTCACATGGATGGTTACTGCTGGTGGCCCTTCGGACCCCATGAATCATCAATTTGGATGAAATGAAACTGGAGAATGTATTACAGCATGAAATTGATATGCTTTTTCAATAAATGAGCACCTGCACAAAACATGAAGAAAACCAAGTCAGTCAATAACACAAAATCTATTCCCTTTGCTTTTACAATAATACAAACAGAGAGAGGAAAGACTAAACACGGAAAAAATCTACTCCTTTTGCATTAATGGGAAAAATGGAGCTTTCAAGGACACAATTCTTCAGCCATAAAAGCAAGCAACACCAAAAGTCATACAAAGAGAACTGAGCCTATCAGTCTACGGAACTGACTAAATTGAATTCAAAGAGCACACGCAAATTATCCACTTATCTAAAACCACACATGAAGGAACAACCCTTAAATCTGATTAATCCGATCAAAAGTTAAACTCATACCCAATAAACACCAGATTCAAACCCTAACTACCAATCATCAAAAACCCAATAAAGATTAAAACTTGATCAATACCCAGAAGAGGAAAGATAGAGAAAACACAGAAAATCAACCTTAAAAATCAAAAGGCTTGAAATTTGAACGTGTGCTCTGGCAATCTGACAAGGGAAGAATAAAGATGTTTTCCTCACCTTAAATCTAGAGAAAGAAAGGAAGGGAGAACACGACTCAACCACCAGTCTTATCTAATGTAAAGTTGATTAATCACCCTCATTAAACTTATGAGAAAGAAAGATTCCAATTAGAGTAGAGAGAGGGGTAAACAAAATTTGTACAGATCAAGTGAGGAGTCACTTTCAAGGAAAATGACTCTTATTTGGCCAATTGGACACGTAGAAGTATGTTTTAATTTCCATTTTAGAAAGAAAATGCCAAGGCTGCGCAAGTTTTCCCCTTTTGTTTGGTATGACGGAAACTGAGAAGGAAAGGGAAAGAATTTTATTGTTAATTAATTAAGTTAAAGGGTTTTTTTAACTTATATAAATTAAGAAAGTAATTATTATATTTTAATACTTAATATGTGTTAAAAAAATAAAATTTTTTAATTTAAAAATTATCTAATTTAAATCATTCATATAACATTAGTATTAAATTTAATATTTTTTTTTATTTTTATGTAAATTAAATACTAAAAAATAATTTAATCATATTTTTAGGTATCAATTATTTAATTAAACTTACCCCTTTAATAAATTAAATATAAAAAAATTTAATCAATATACCTTTAATTTATGTCATAAAATCATAGCCCAAACAAACCTTTATAAAATTAATTAAATATCATTCATGAATAAAAAAAAATATAGAGAAATAGAGTGCGGATGTGCCAGACACTGCTCCCATTAAACCGCCGCCCTAAATGAAAATGGATATCTTCAAATACAAGAGAAATAGGCATACAATCACAATGGATGATGAGTCACAGCAACAGCAGAACTCATCAACACAAATTCTGTGTCCTTTGAAACAAATTGAAGACGAATATCATCATCCTTCCACTAAATACCCAAACCATCCGCCACCAATCCCATTCACTAATACTAGTAAAAAGGGCAAAACCCATCCAAAAGCAATACCGGCAAATTGGCAATTGATGAGTTAATTCCTCTGAGTGCAGTGAACATAGATATGTGAAATGTCCATGAACAATTTGGTACCTTGAGTCAACAACTTAAACGAAGTTATTAACTACATTTTAGTAAAAATAAGAGATTTTAATTAAAATTAATGTTAATTTTTGTATTTATTTATATGTATTTATGCTAAAAAAAACTATTAATCAATCCTTAAAAGTACTAGTTTGAAAATCCAAATGAATGTTATAGAGCAAAACTCTTCTAATGGCCCTTTAATTGTTTGTCTTTAAAACCATTAGTCCTTCAAACTATGTTTTATGTGTTTTAACCTATAAATTTTACATTATTACTATGATTGGACTAAAATAGACAAAATTTCATAACCTTAGTCATGTGGTTATCTCTACTCCATTATGATGTTACCTATTCACATCAATGTTATGTTGCCATAAATATGATCTCTTTAGACCCATAGAAATGGGAAAAATCTTACCCAAGATGAGAGTCATGAGACCATGTTTACTTTGTATGAGATTTTTTTGCCTTTATAAGTTCAAGTAAACCCTATTTATGTTAGAAAGACGTTGACAAGGATAAGGTAATGGAGTAGGAAAAGATAAGGTAATGGAGTAGAGAAGGCTATGTGACTCACGTTTAGGTCAATTATAGTAGTAACATGAAATTCATAAATTCAAACACACAAAGTGTATGTTAATGGGCTAATGATTTCAAAAATAAAACAGTTAGAAGGCTTGTAGTAGGGTTAAGCCAATATTATATACATGTATATCAATATATAGGGCCAATACCTAGGGTCGTTTGGATTAACTTTGTAGGTATAATTAATAGTTAATAATTAGTATTTAATAATTAATTATTATTATTTATAATTTAAAATATTTAATTTTTTTTAATTAAAATTAACAAGTGATAATTATTTTTTTCCCTTTAGGCAAAACAAGTGATAACTATTTAAAAAAAACTAAAACAAACACTATTTATGTCTTATAAAAAACGAGAAATGAATCCCTTTTTCTGTGTCCTTGACATTGCTTTCTCCCTCAAGGCAAAATTTAATTTCAAATTTTATAAAAAGGAAAACTTAATATTTTAAATATTAAAATATTATAACTTTTATTTATGGCAAAACGCTTCTTAAGGCCTTAAACTTACTCCAAAATAACATTTAAGGCCCTAAACTAAAAATAAAGTAGATAAACCCTTTAACTCCTCTAATGATGCAAATAAACCCTTTTCATTTATAGATGTTCATGCTTTCAAGGTGATTAAACATGAAATGCCATTTCATCTATTTATGAGAATAACTTATTTGCATTGTTAGTAAAATTAAAGAGTTTATCTATTTCATTTTTAGTTCAAGAGTTTAAATGCTATTTGAGAATAAATTTTAGAGTTTAAAAAGATTTTTTACCTTCATTAATTAATTTATTTATTTGTATTGAACATAAGTGAAAGCCAACAATACATTTATTAAATGATGTACGTAAGAAAACATTTTCTAAAATGCCAATTATGACTGGGTTGAAGCCAATTATAGTCCCTCTACTTTTAATTTTCGTTCATAATCCTACTTCTACTTATAAATAATTCAAAGTCTTCCCTCTACTTTAAGTTTTCATATCAATTACCTCCCTCAGTTGACGCCGTTACAAACTCCCATTTAACGGTGAAATTTTTGTCCGTTAAAAACTTAACCCATTGATTAAATTATTATTTTTCTTGTTGTTTTGTATTGAATGGGCCAACTGAATTCCATGTCAGTAAGGGTAGCCAGACCAGCAACATTAAATTTTTTTGTGGTGTTAAATTATTTATATTTTTATGCAATTTTATAATGTTTGCATTTATGTTATGAAATTTTTTTTGGTGAAAATATCCAGTGTTTCACTTTTTTTTTTCTTTCCAGATTTAGTCTATTTCAACTCTTATTTTCATTTTGATTTTTACTCTTTAGCTGGCTGCAAAAAAAAGTGCAAGAAAAATAAAATATAAAAATTTGTTTGGTTGTAGAGATAGTGCACAAAAATTAATCCAAAAATTTATTTGGTTGCAAGAAAAATGTTTTTCCACCAAGGTAAGGGGTTGTCAAGACCTTACCAACATGAGTATTAGTTTTATTGTTGGTACAGTATGTATAATGTATTTAAAAATATTTTATATTATTTGTTTTATTGTTAGTATAGTACGAATAGTGTATTGAAAAATATCTTGTATTACTTCGAATATACTCGTTATAAATATTTATAATGTGATAGTTATAATGTTATATAAAATTATAAATTTATAATTATAATATGATATTAAATGAGTATAATATAATATTAAATAAATAAATACATATAATATTATAAGTGAACATTTAATAAAAATAATTAAATTATATGATAATATATCATATTATTAATTTATAATTATATAATATTCTAATTATAATATTTTCATTATAATTATATATTTTTATATTTTATTTAATAAATTTATTAATTTATTACTATGTATTCACCTGTAATGTTAATATAAACCCATATCCTCTTTTTTTTTCTTAGTTTTTTTTTGTATTAATCTTTTAATATCTAATAATCATATTGGGTTTCGATTTATTTAAATTTGAATCATGTCGAACTTCATTTGAGAGAAATTCTCCAAATAATTATTTTTACATTTACAAAACTCAAACTCAATATCTTATTTAACAAACTGATTTCTTTTTCCACGAGTAAATGATAATTGGTTTCTTTCTTCTTGGTGGAAACTGAAAAGCCACGTGTACCTTTTTAATATTTCCCATACATCTTCATCTCACGTTACCCAGTCAACTTCACCCTCATTCCCCCTCCACAAACCTTCATTTTCCAATCCTCCTCTTCATCCCGTTGTACTGAAAAAAAAAAAAAAAAAAGGATGCATAGATGGCCAAAAAAGATTAAATTATATTAAAAAAAATCTTGAAAATTCCTTATCTCCATCAGTTTCAATTCTCTCCTCTCTTTCCCCCATTTCCCTTCTCTACAATGAAGGGCCATCTACCTCCACCACATCCGGCCAATTTTAATATCTTTTTTTGCCTTTTCTTTTTGACAAGTAAGGTGTTGGTGCATGTCCAGGTGGTGTGGGGAGGTGGATTTTGGAGGTAAGGGAATGGAGATGTACGTAGATTTAGATATGAAAGAATTGGTTTTTTGGCTTGCTCATATTCATGTATACCTTGAAAGTTTTGATCTTTTGCTTAAACTTTGTGTTCAAGCTTGGGTTTTTACATATTGTTATTATTAACTTTTTTGGTTTGGTTGTTGAAAAAGGGTAGGAAAGTGAAAGAAAATTCAATTGTTTTTGTTTAGCTTGATACCAACTATAAGTGTCACTGTAACCCACCAAACAACCACCCTATCTCTCATTAAAATCTGACCCAAATGGGAATTGCCTTGCCTAAAACTGATTAATCCAGCAATGAGCACCTCCGCAATCATATATGCACCTATTGAACTCACAAATAGGCAATTGGTGGCGATTCTTGATAGGGATATTGACTCGCCACGGCCGCACAATAAAGTAGAGGGGAGGAAGAGGAAAGGCAGCAAGATGAGAGTAAATAGCACCATTTATGGCAGAGATCCAAACAGGTAGCACCAAATGAAGGTTGAGCGTTTACTCCGATGAAAGCCGTCCGGAAATTAGTATGATCAATAACTAAATTCCAGTTCCGGTCAACAGGCACCGAAATTATAGTGACCACGACGAAGCAAGATTCAGGTGGTTGTGAAGAAATAGGAAGTTGGTGAATGATAGAACCAAGGTGGTTTGGGGTTTGGATTCAACAGCAAACAAGAAAATTGTGTTTAGATTCAGAGGAGTTACCACGCCGAAGCCCAAAGAAGGCTCTAGGCTTCCACTTCAATCATTTAGTGCAAAGCTCAACTGCTCAAGTAACAAGCGCAAGTAGTAAAGCCAAAAGCAGGTCTGCTTGCTTTAGGTTGAGGCATCCTTATAGGTTGATCTAGCCACCCTTGCTCACCTGGTATGCTGACATGGACATTAGTGGGTCCACTCAATGCAATTTAACAAACAAAAAAAATGGTGTTATAGAAAAATCTTTTTATCCTACGTTTTTATATAACTTTCACGTGTTATTGAATGGATGTATTCAATATCACGAATCCCATATGAATTTAAAGAACTAATCATTTTAATGTCACGTTAAGTTATGCAACAAAATAAAACAAAAAACTTGTACAAAAAGTATTTTCTCAAAAAAATAATACTTTAATGAATGGGATGAACTTTAACTGTCAAAAAAAAAACCACCGTTAAATGGGAGTTTGTAACGGTGTCAACTGAGGGAGGTAATTGATATGAAAACTTAAAGTAGAGGGGGGACAATAGCATGGTTAGGAAGACCAGAGGGAGAACTTTGAACTATTTGTAAGTAGAAGGAGAATTATGAATGAAAATTGAAAGTAGAGGGACTATAGTTGGCTTTAACCCATTATGACTCAATGGCGGTCAATCAACGAAGGTTCCACTGCACACCCCAAATCGGACGTAAAATGCTTTAAATATGATACCATCTCTTTCCATTTCATAATTGCATATAATATTATCTATATTTATTTAATTTATTTTATATATCATCTCATATATAATGAATTATTATATTATCAGTAATTTATTAATTTAAGTAAAAATAATTTAATTTTTTAAATAAAATTTTAAATTTAAATTTTATAAAAATAAAAACAATTATTAAGAAATTTTTTTATAAAGTTTAATTTAATTTAATTTTAAATTTATTAAAATATAATATAATTTTTAGATATTAAAATATTTAATAAAAAAAAATAGAGCATCACATTGCATTTTTAATATTGCCCTTCCAAGAAGGTAATGGAAAAATCCAGGCGGGGCCGCCCCCTAGCAAAAGGACAACTGTGGCTAATGTAATCAAGTACGTCACAGGCAGTAGCTAGGGGCATTACGTTACTTACAATGACGCTCACAATTATTCTGGTCCCAGTCCCTCACCTAAACCTCATTCAATTTACCAAGATGCCCTTAGTTCATCATGTCCTTCCAGCAGAAAAAACCAACCGCCTCATGGGCATTCTCGTCAATTCAATCTTCAATCAAGAAACATCCTTTTTTGGTATATCACATGGTTTTGACAATATGTAGAGCCAACCAACACGGTTTTGTGGTTCATGAATCGGACTCAACTTTCTCTACATTTTTCCTGAGTGTTCTTGTGGGGTTGGGTTTTATTTTAAATTTGGTATGGAGAAAGGAAGGAAGAGGAAAATGGAAAGTGAAGAAGGGGAAGAAGATGAGGAAGAGCAGATACAGAAGTTCTATGCTTTGATTAGAAGCACCAAGGACATGAGAGATCGATTGAGGAACATCCCAGATGGATCCAAAGAGAGAGAAGAGGAGAGGAAGGCCGTCGCTTGGAATCCAACGTTTCAACCGGAAGATTTCATGGGGGATGACAAGTCCAAGGATCCCCTACCAATACCGACTCAAGCTGGCCCTTCTTCAAAGACAGAGCAACAACAAGAAGATGAAACCAAGGAGAAAGGAGAAAGTAGGGGAATTGACTTGAATCTTTCTTTGTAGCATCATTAATTTATAAATTACAACGGGTTTGTGTGTTTTTTTTTTTTTTTTTTTTTAATAATAGTTATATAGGAGGAATCCTCTCTTTTTCTTTAAATTTGTTTATAATTTTTCTTTCATTTGATTTAAATTTTAAATATAAAATCTTTAATTTAAAATCTCACCATTCGGCCAAGAGGTTTGTGCTACCTGTTATAAAAAATAAAAAATGAAAACCTTATTGAGGGCCTAGATGGCATATTTAGACGTTATGATATTTGCTTAGACGGTGTTGCCCCAAAAATCCTATTCGCCACTTCTCATGGTAGAAATGGTAATAAAGTATGTCATTTACTTTTGTAAGAAAAGCAAGAAAAGGATTAGCCACTCCTCTCCTTCCACTTAATTTTTCTTTGAAGAAGTTGTTGGAGGAACATCATTTAAAATAGTATGTTTAAAGTAAACGATCGATAGAAATAAGGGATAAATTTATATATAAGAGCTCAGACTTGCCTTAGAAACATGTAAGAACTTGGTTTAAAGTAAATAAGTATAAAAAAAATTAAATTAAAGTATTGATAATGAAATAAACTAAAGAAAGTATTGAAAAATTAGGGTTCATTTGATATAGTGGTTTTGGGTAGTGATTAACGATTTTACCTAAATTGCTAAATGTAAGTGTTTAATAAATTTATATATTTCGAAATCGTTACAAATAAAATGTTTGGTAAAATTTTTATTTAGTGGTTTGAAAGTAACGGATAGCGGTTAGGGTCTAAACTGCTAACGGATTAAAATTTTTTAATTTTATTGATAAATTTATCCATTTTAATTTTTTAATTTGTGATTACATTTTTTAATTAATAATTATCTAATAAGTTTCAATTTTGTTTTTTTACCTTTAATAATATTAAGTGATTATAACATTTTTTTTGTCCATTAATTTATAATTAAAAAATATATTATCTTAAAAAAATTAGTTAATTAGATAAAATAATTAATTTTTATTTAAACATAATATAATTTTAAAAATAAAAATAAAAATGAGGGTGTAATTACATTATTATAATTAATTTTATTTATTTATTTATTTTTATTATTTTTATAAAATTAATAATTTTAATAATAAAAAATAAAAATATTTTAAAAAATACACTTATTTGTTTTTAAATATGTCCTTATTAGTCATTTAGTGTTAAACAACAACCGCTAAATATTGTATAATTAAATAGTTATATTTATCGAATCCGTTATTTACCATCCACTACTCACTTTTCGCTATTTGTCATCCGTCATCCACTATCCGCTGACTGTCACAGGCCACCCGCTACCCACTACTGCTACCTGCTATCCGCTACTGCTATCTGCTATCCGCTATCTGTTAAATTTTAACCGTTATACCTAACATACCCTTAACTACATAAAATAAAAAAGAAATATAGCTAAATAGAAGTTAAAACTGCAGGCAAAAAATGTAAATTTGGTAGAAATTTGGAAAATGTAGCAGAAAAATAAAAGATTCTAAATTTAATTGAAATTTTTGACATACTAGAATTAAAATCAAATTAAATGTTTAATAATTGAGAAGTTTAGTAGAAGTAAATCACAATAATAAGAAAAAGTCCAAGAATTAATCTTACTAAAAAAACTAAATCAACTAAGAACCAAAATCCGTTAAAAACGTTGATCTACCTGTACTGGACTAAAACTTGAAGAAAAGGTGTTGGAAAAATAATCTGAAACTAAGAACTTGCTAGGTTAGAGTAAACTAAAGGATGCTTGCAGAACAAAGAGTTTTAAAAAATAAATGATTGTGTTGAAGGACAAGTTTCTGTGTATGTAATCAAATAATGTCTTTAAAATTGAAGTTTATAGGGTGGTACTATTGAGATAACTTTTTTTGTCTTATTTTTTTGTATAACTTTCACATGTCATTAAATGAGTAGATGCATTCAATATCATGGATTTCATATAAATTTAAAGAATTAATCATTTTAATAACACATTAAGTTGTACAAAAAAGTGAGACAAAATGATTGTCCAAATAGCATTTTTCTAATTTATAAGCCTCCAAAACTATTCCCACCCAGTAAAAAATCATATCTAAACTACCTCTCCATCTATAGTGAAATATGGTATCAACAACCCCAATTTTCTTTCCTTCACGCACACTATCCTTTAGCCAAAAACAAGAAAAATGCGGCCAAAATCCAGCAAAATCCACCAGATAAAAATCCCTAAAAATCAGCCTCATCCTTCTCCATTTGATCGGGTCAATTCCTTTTGAAATTGAAGATCAAATCTCCAACCTTCTCAAAGGATAAAAAGTTTGATTTCTAATAGAATATCAACCCATAAGATTGAAATAATAGAGTCCAAAAGTATTTGGATTGTACTCTCCTTTGGGCATATAATTTCTTTTAACCTAACAAACTCCCCACAATCAAATCCACTTCTAAAATAAATAAAGTTGGACTCCTCATACTTAATTAATAAAAATACTAAAGACTTCAGCCCCTAAAAATAATTCATATCAACCCATGGCAACATAAAATGAACTGTACCATACTGAATCACAACCAAATAATTCATAATAAATCATGAAAAATTAATGGCCGTTCAATCTTTTTAGGGACATGAGTTCAATCTTTTTAGGGACATGAGGTATCATCTCAAAAAATTCCTAATTGTGACGTAAATAGACAGTGAGCTAATGAAGGTCTTATATACCATATACATATGAACTATGACATGCATATTCTCAAGAGTTTGGCCAAGTTAGTACTTATTAATTAAAAAACTTAATTTTAGGTCAAAATTAAGATTTCAAACCATTGTTATGCCAAGCAACTTACCCTACAATGTATCAAGAAAAAAAAAATGAACTATGACATGCATGACAAATCACTTCAAAAATGAATCATAATTCTTATCTAACTCTTTCTCCGCCCCTTCTCCCTCTTTTCTTCTCAGTTTTCTTATCATTTGCAGCTCTGTTGTTGTTTTGTTTGTATAAATCATGGTTTCATCACATTAGGCATGCTAATTTAATTTCAATAACATCAAAAGCTTAGGACAGGAGCATTGTTATTCTAATTTTTGATCAACCATAAAATATTTCCCATGAAAATTTCTTAGAAATTGATAACTTGGGATGTTAATCTTATCTCTATCATAATGTGTTAAACTCATGTTCAAGGAGTTCATAAGCCTCACTTTCTTAAGCAAAACAACAAATTTACATGCCATAATAATAGGATTCTGCCATAAATTTTCAAATCTTATTATGATAGGTAAATAAGGTAAGCATGAAAATTATGGTATAAAAATCCAGAATGCGCTGTTATAATGTTGTTATTATAAATGCCAGACCTCATAAGCTCTTTAAATCGGCTCCCTTGCTTCACATCCTTGAACAGAAACAGCCATTTTAACATCAACAATGACTTCTGTTCCTACTTATACTCTCTTGTTTTCTTCGCTAGTCATCTCCCTCTTCCTTTTCACCAATCCAGCCTCAAGTGCTGATCCTCAAACCCAAGAACTAATTGATAAGATCTGTCGACAGATGGAGGACTATGGATTCTGCAATCAAACTTTCAGTGCCAACCTCAAATCCCCATTAACAGACCTTGTTGGGTTAACGCAGATAACAATCGAGATAACTATACAAAATGCATCCAATGATTTTGTGTACGCCAAGTCAATCCTGGACAGAGCAACTGATCCGCATATGATAAAAGTGCTTACAGAATGTGTAAAGGACTACCAAGCAATTAGGGGGTCTTTCATCAAGGCTATGAGGTCATTTATGCTGCGAGATTACAAAGGCATGCTTAATTATGAGCTGCCTAATTCAAAGTCAGTAGCTCTCTGCCAGGAGGGTTTCAGTTCTGCTAAGCCTGGCCCCAATCCCTATATTGTTTTAATTGAAAGAAACAGACAACTTCGAATTCTCATTGCCATGTCTGTTGTCACTGGGCATTATCTTGTGTCATGTAGTCATTGTTTCTGGTGTTTCAGCTTGTCATATGCCTATGACATGTAATGGAGCGAATCCCTTTCTGGAAATGAAAATTAAGTTTTAGATATGAGAAAGAAACATTGAATGTTGATGGAAGGAGTGACCACCCCACACTCAGTAATGACATTAATAAACCTTACGGGATCCTCAGTCACCAGTAGTCTTTGCAAGAACACAAGCCACCCTTAAAACAATGGAACCGATTAGCATCCCTCAAGATGATCTCTCTCCCTGTAATTTTAGATATTAATTTAATTGCAGAGTGGCAATCCCCACAAACCCGAAGATTTTTCATGATCCGTATGGGCATCTCTTTAGGCACCCTCAAAAGTCCATATGCCACAGCCAGTTTCTCACTGTGATACCTCAAGTTATTCATCTTCTCTTCCTCATCCACATCATGCAGCACAAAGCTACCATCAGGACAATACCCAGCTTCCGTCAACAATCCAGCTAATTTCTCCAACATCTTCATAATCATTACATGCTCAGGATGGCCTGAGCTGTCACCCATGGTAAACATATGTACTCTCTTCTCTACCTCAATCCAGCTACATCCTGGGAACTTGTTGACACTCCTTGCCTTCATGTTTTTTCTCAGCTCTGCCACATCGTCCCATCTACCTTGAGATGCATATAAATTCGACAACAAAATATAAGGACCAGCATTTTCAGGCTCCAGATGTAAAAGCTTCTTTGCTGCGACTTCAGCCAAATCAAACTTCTTGTGGGTTCTACATGCTCCTAATAAAGCACCCCAAACAATCGCATCTGCTTCAACTGACATATTTTCAATCAAATTCATTGCCTCGTTTACCCTGCCTGCTCGGCCGAGCAGATCCACAACGCAAGCATAATGTGCAGTTTTTGCCTCCACGTTATATTTGGATCTCATTAATTCAAAAATTTTGAGCCCTTCATCAACATTCCCAGAGTAGCTACAAGCTGTAAGAACGCCGATAAAGGTAACATCATCTGGCATAAATCCTGATGAAAACATGTCATGGAAAACTTGTAAAGCTTCCTCTGCTAGACCATGTTGGGCATAACCAGTGATGATAGAATTCCACATAACAATATCCTTTGGAGTAAATCCGTCAAAAACTTGCTTTGCCTTTACAAGATAACCACACTTAACATACATTGTAATCAAAACAGAGGCAACATACAGGTCAAGATCAAACTGAGACCTCACCAACTGTGCATGAACCTGTCTACCATGATCAAGACTTGCAAGGCTGGAAGAAACAGAGAGAATGCTAATCATGGATGGGAAATTGGGCCTGACTCTCTTTTTCTGCATCAATGCAAACAAATCAAGTGCTTCTAATTCAAATCCCTTCCTTTCATAAACTTTTATCATTGTGCTCCATGTCACATCATCCTTCTCTGACATTGTATCAAATATCATCCTTGCTTTTGCCACCTGCCCGTTCAATCCAAAACCAAGAATCATTGCATTACAGGCAGCATCAGACTTCACAGGCATTGCCTCAAAAATATCCAAAGCCTCTTCCATCCTTCTGCTCTGCATATAGCCCATCAACATAGCCGTCCAAGAAACCTCATTTTTCTCAGGCATTACTTCAAAGAGCTTCCTAGCAACATCCACACGATTATTCTGTGCATATCCAGTAATCATAGCAGTCCAAGAGACCACATTCCTATGTGGCATCTCATCAAAAATCTCTCTTGCTTCACTCAAACGTCCTTCTTTACAATACCCTCCAATCATATTAGTCCTGACGACCACATCCTTCACTGGCATTGCATCATACAACCTACGTGCCTCATCAATCCTACCTTCCTGAATCAAACCACCTAACAAAACCGTCCAAGACACCACATTCCTTTCAGGCATTTTCCAAAACAACGCCTCTGCTTCCTCCATCATGCCTTCCTGCACATATCCCCGAATCATGGCAGTCCAGGAAATAACATTTCTCTCAGGCATTTTATCAAACGCTCTCCTAGCTTCCGTAATCATCCCATTCTTGACATACCCAGAAATCAATCCATTCCAAGAAACGATGTTTCTCTGAGGCATTTTATCAAACAGAAACCGAGCTTCGCATGGCTGATTGTTCTGAAAGTACCCCGCAATGATTGAGTTCCAAGAAACAACCGTTTTTTCAGACAATCCATCGAAAACCTTCCGGGCATTCTCAATTTGTCCTAGGCGAGCGAAATAGGAAATCTGTGAAGAGGGTGATGTTGCAATTCCTGTGCTGAATGCCCTGAAATGGGTTAACAGAAAACGCATTGATAAACACAACAAATTTCGTGGGTTATTTTCGAATTTTGATGGGACTAACGAAATCGAAAGATTAATCCGTCTAGGATTAAAAGGAATGAACTTGTTATCCTAGTTGGAGAGACGAACATTAACAGAGACTTATTGGGTTTGTGAGGCGCGGGAAAACTGAAGACATTGGAACTCTAATTTGAACCGAAAGAATAAATTTTGGTTAACCGAAAGGATTTGGCTCGGTTGAGTTTGGAACATAAATTAACCGAATTCCATTTTTTTTTTTAAGTTGACTATTTTGTACTCTGAACTATACTAAATTGTTAAATAAGGAACATTAAATATGCAGAGCTCCCTGCACCCGGCTTGACGTGGCACCTGCCACCATGAGGTGCATTTTTTTTTTTTTTTTGAGTGGGCTCAAACTTGCTTTTTGATAAATTGTTAAAAAAAAAAAAATAAGAGCTTCTGGTATTTGAAAATTTAATTTTCATTCAATAGTTCATAACTTATAGTTTGATATAATTTAAATTATAAAATATATTTTTATTTTTTTATATAAAAAAATTATATTATACTAGTTAAGAAAATTAAAAAAAATACTTAAAAAAACCAAAAAAATCGGATATTTTAATTACTAAATTAGTCCTCAATTAACCAAAAAAATTTTACTTTCTTGGTTTTAAAATAAATGTCATTTTTATTCAAAATTTATTCTAAATTATTTTTTATTTTTTTTAAAGAGACAAATAATTTTTTTTCCTATTTTAACTCTATTACGGCTATCTCTTAGTGGTAAGTGTCTTTAATTATTCACCCATTTTATCCTTATCTTCTATTTATGGATATGTAAATTATCTAGAAATTTCTAATATGTGATATAAAAAAATATTTTTCAGGACGAGATTTAAATCCCTATGTGAACAAAGTCAACAAAGAAAATGGTAATTTTGGTACAAAAGAGTAAAATTATTATAGCTACTAGTTGATGCCATATGAGCACTGAGATGAGACTTAAAAGACATTACAGCTTTATACCGGAATTCTTGCATTGCCCTAGCAATTAGTAGGTTTATGACAGTAAAAGGGAGCATTAGCAGCTAACTGGAATGTTATTCATATATGCAAACATGAAACATTTCGAGACGTTTTCAGGCAACACAGGAGAAACACTGGCCGGGAATTGTTTATTCAAACCATTGGATAAACGAGCATTGGTCCACCCTCACATACATGGTCAGCAACATAAGCAGTGTAGTTTCCAGGACATAACAAGCCCAGTAGAAACTATTAGGTTTGCTGACATAAAGAAGCCAGTACCTCCAGCAAGGACAGGGTAAATTGCATTTGAGTCTCCTCATCCATGACCAAGAAGGGAGGCACGTGCACAAATAGCGATTTGGTTCCATTCTGCTCAGCAAAGTGGAGGGAGTGATAGTAAACATAATTGCAAACAAACTGTCCTGCATTATCAGAAGTCATTACTTCAAATCCCTTCTTTGACAAGCCCTCTCTTATCTCCTCAACTGGAAGAGAAGTCTGCATAGAGTTAAAAATAGGATTAGATGAAACAGATCAAGAATGGTAGTGGTAGCATATGAAATTTCTAACCAACTGAAATGAATATAGATTTTCTCTCAAGGCAACTTCTTACAGATATTCGAGAACATACATGAGATAATGATATAAATTAATCACAACATTGGCTAATAAGAAGAAGAATGAACTTGAAATACATAACTCGAGAATTCAAATTTCAAGTAGCAGCAAGAGTAATAGAAACTCAAGCAGTCTTTTAATAAGAAAAAAGTTCATACGTAGAACTGACTATATGTAATTATGAAATCGCTGTGAGGGATTACAAAATGAATAAATTGTGAAGCTACCTTTCGTACATGTGTAATTCCACCATTTTTAGGAATAATGGGTACTTGTTGAAGCAAAGTAAAGAGATGTTCAAAAATATGGGACAAAATGAAAATGGTGATCCACAAAGCATAGCAGTGTGTTATTGTAATTAAGAAGTTAAAAGGCATGCACATACATGAGGTTGCCATCCTAACTCATCAGGAAAACCAAAAGTAGCTTCATTCACTGCTTGCTGCTCAATAGCAAAGCTACTTGCATGACCATTAACTCCGAAATGTACCTGAAGGAAAATTGTTGCCAAAAAACACGATACATGAATTTATAAAGTAGTAAGTTCGCAGCATCAAAGCCAAGTATTAAGATGATTTTTGCCGAGAGAATCAGATAGACTAGTGAGCAACTAACCCAAATAGTCTTTCTAGAAGTTGAAGATTCAGATTCATTGCCACTTAAGGCAGATTGCAGTGTCTGATATAGTGTAGGCAGTGCTCCCTGTCCTGCAGTCTCAAGGACAGTGCAACTGCCAAGAATCACACCTTTTGGCAAACCCTTCTTTGCTGTATATTCTTTCAACTTACTGACAATTATCTCGGTTGGATTCTCCGAAACTTCATGGAATTTCTTAAAACCAGTCAAATGGATGGTTACAGATGGTGACGCTTCTGACCCCATGAATCAACTATTTAGATGAAACCAGAGCATGAATTTACACCATGAATAAGTTAGTTAATAATAAAACTAGAAAGAAGGAAGACTAAACCCAGAAAAATCTATTCCTTATGCTTTAATGGAAAAAAGAAAAATTAAAACTTTCACAATCTCAATTCTTCATCCATAAAATGAATAACAAAAGCCAAACATACAACAGAAGATAACTATTGTGTTTGTTTATGGGTTTATGGACTAAATTGAATTCAAAGAGCACACATCATAATACATAATACACAATCCATAATCCATAATTCACTATCTAAAACCACAAAGCAACAACCTTTGAATCCGATCAACAATTAAATTCATACCCAACAAACATCAGATTCAAACCCCAACTCCCAATCATCATAAACCCAATAACGATATAAACTTGATCCTAAAATTGCACAAATCCAAAAATTCAAAATAGAAATTAAAAGAATAATAAAATGGCTAAGTTGTAAATAAAAACTAAAACAAAAATTAAGAAATACTTGATGAATATACCAACCTTTAAAGAAATTAGGAGAGCCAGAGGGAGAATTAAAAAATCGAAAAGGGTGAAAAAAGAGACGTGAGAAGGAAGTGCCTACATCCAATCAACATTAAGAAAAAGAACGGTACAAAACTAGACCAAACTACAGAGTATTACTATTGACAGCCTTTAATTCGGTTATAACTAGGAAAGGAAATAAAAGATATGGCAATATAAAAAATGAAAAGGAAATTGAAGTTGCAAGGGTTCCTCCGTTGTTCAAGCCACGTTATGAGAAAAATGGTATATATAATTATATGAATTTTGTTTTTTTTTTCTTTTTAAATAATAAAAGTAAAATTTCAACTTTTTATATTTAAAATTATTAATTTTTTATTTTTTATTTAAAAATTAATTGAATAGTAAAAAAATTGTTTATCACATTAGCTCTCCATTTAATTAATTTTTAAATAAAAAATATAAAGTGAATATCTTTAAATAAAAAATTTAAAATTTTATTATTTTATTTAAAAATCAACAAAATTTACATCTGTAAATAAAAAAAAAACAAAATTTATATCTTTATGTGTATCTTTTCTTCACAATAGGACTTTTTTTTTTTTTTAGGTTTGTTTGATTAGAAAACTAACTTTCTAGAAAATTTTTTATTAAAAAAGTAATTATGAAAATACTGTACGAAAACATAATAAATTTTTTAATGAAAATTTGTTAAAATTTTGTTAAAATTTTGCTAAGTTAAATTTTCTATATTTAGTAAGAACATGAAATAGGAAAAATAATAAGAAAGTTGTTAATTGGGTCATAAATAGAAAAAATTAAAAAAAACTTTTTTCTTTTAAAAAGTGGATAAAAAAATTTACTAATTAAGAATTGTATTAAAAAAATAAAAAATAAAAATATGATTTTTATTTTTATCATATTAATATATAAAAATAAATAAATAATATTGTAAAGAGAAAAAATTTCCCCCAACTAACACCCCCTCGAGGTTAGGTTGTAACTAGCTCACGTTGGTTTGTATAAATTTCGAAATTTGTTAATGCACCGTGCATGGATGTGGTAGTTGTACATTTAAAATTGTCTGAAGGGGGATAGGTTTTAAAATATGTAAAAATTAATTAGAATATATTTTAATTATGAATATAAAAAAATTTCAAAATTAATTAAAAATATTTTAAGAGTCTCTTATTTTATATAAAAAGAGATGATTATCCCACTCTTTTAATTTATCTCCATTTATTTTAAAATTTAAATTTAATACTTATAATTTAAAATTTTAATTTTAATCATTCAAAAGTTTCAGGGGCTTTACCTTATCTCAAATTCTCATACGGTTTAATAGGGCCAAATGGGTTTTAAGAACATTTTGAACTCTAGGATGATAATGGGCCCGGACAGATAAAAGTTTCTGAACATGAATTCGACTTGACAGCTAGCAGGTGATACATACATATATACATGGGTGTCAGGATGGGACACAACCTGACAATCATTTGACACCTCAAATAAATTACAATGTTGATATAAAGGATAATTTTCTTAATTTATTTTTATACATTTTAGAATAAATTAATTAATTTAATATTAAACGTCTGTTTTGATATGATGATATAAATTTTAGATTAAAATCGTTCACTTTTTATAAATTATGTGTTTGAATTCGATGAATTATTTTTAATTAATAGTAAATTTTTTTAATATTTAAAAAAATTTAATGTTATAAATTTTATATAAATAAAAAAAATTTAATTATTTAAATAATATATAAAATTAAAAAAAAATACAAAAACATTTTTTTAAATCACTTTCCAACGAATAATGGAATGAATTAAAATAAAGATTATCAAAAACCAAAATCTAGTGATCTTTAAGTTTATAAAAACTAAATAATGGGATGAAATAAAATCAAGATTATCCACAACCAAAGATTATTTAAAATCAAGTTTATCCAAAACCAAAACCTAGTCATCTTTAAGTTTATAAAAAATAATTAAATAAATAAGGAAAAAAATCTAATCATCTTTTACTCATATTGCACGGCTCATTTTCCTATCCTTTTTGTACCTAAAACACATGAATTGGTTGAATCGTTTCCGTGTCGTATTTTGCTTATTTTTTCCCCCTTATCATCAGCATTAAATGTCAGTCTTTCTAATCTTTTTCCATTTCAACATAAAATTCCTCATCATTTTGAAGACAAATTTTCCATGTTTCTTGAAAATCTTCAAAATCAAATCTACTTTCACTTGAAAGACTTAATCAAGCCAAAACTATTACAAACGATAACTTCTACCATAATTGCCAACCATGGTCATGGCTCATTGATAAGAGTTCATAGTGTGGCACCTTGATTTTTACTTTAAGTTTGACTACTAACCTTAATTTCATTTCCCCTAATATGTAGTTATAATGTAATTGTCATGGTTAAAAAATTCTATTATAATTATATATTATCCATCTTAAAATAATTGTTTTTTTTATTTCTTCTTTCAAATAAAAAATTTAAAGATAATTCATATACTTACTTATGTTACTCTTAAAAAAAATTAAAAGATAATGCCAAAGAATTTTATGATAAAATAATTAATTCAAATAAATGAATAATAATAGGATTAAATTAAAACAAATTATTTGTATATCTTAATATATAAGAAAATAATAATTAATTTGAAATAAATTTAAAGTCATAAAAAAAAAACAATTATTTTTGGACAAATGGAGCATACATTAACACATGTAATGATGTCCACTTATTGTATAAAAACTTAGATCAGACTATCTAACATAGACTCCTCATTTTTGGACCATTGGGACCATATATTAAAGGGTTGGAGTTGATCTATGATTTTTTTTTTTTTTTATCTTCAATTATATAATGAGAGACAACTTTTTCTTATTTCTTAACATATCTTATTTACATGTCATATTACTTGAATTCAAAACTTTTTACTTATCATTAAGTTATTTAGCTCTTGATATAATTTTTATTATTAATCTTGCAACAATTAATAATGTATTAATTTAATCTAACTACAAGTTTATTAACTAATTCATGAATCAAGATTAACAAGAGAGTACCTTTTGCAATTAAAAATTAGACAAAACAAGCACTTACAACTATCGCGTTTAATAATGACAATTAACAGCACTCATTAAAGATAATATCAACATGCGTGAAAAAATATAGCACTATATACATAAAATTGGATTACATTACACGACGAAGAACTTTAAAATGAGATAAGAAACTTAAATGGGAAAAAAGAACACTATAAAGGGTGCTTTTCAAAGGAATGAAGACTCCATCATCTACAAGTTTTCCTCCAAACATATACATGCAAAATTGGCGTGCTTTGATAATCTTTAAGTTGGCTATGACATGACAAAGCATTATAATTGATGCATAAAGGCCCTTCTCTACAACTACTTCCCACTCTTACATCACACACTTCAAAATGCTCTATCCAACGTCTACAACTCTTCCAAAAAAAGGAAGAAAGAATCATATCTAAAAAAACCAATTAATTTAAAGTGAAGAGGAGTTTGAACGTTCAAACAAAAAGTTAAAAGTAAAATGCATGAATGCCTCTTTCATTTTAATGGCCACATAGAAATCACTCTCTCTTTATGAAGAGAGCAAAGATTTATTGCGAGGGAGATTGAGTCATTGATTGACAGCAGAAATAATTTAATGCTTAGATTCCTTTTTCAAATTTTAAAGGGTCAATTTCCTTGTTGTCCTTCATTCTTTGACGGTGCCTTAATATAATCTCTAACTTCTCATTTGTCTCACTTTGACCCCTAACATTTTTTTTTTTAAAATTGCAAACCCTAACTTTTCTAATCAAATTTTGTACATATACAATCAACAACAATTAAAAATAAATTGAAATCTATTAAGAGATGTCTCAATAGTTTAAAAAAATTGAATTTTTATGTTTAAATTTGAATTTTAAAATAGATAAAAAGAGATTTTAAAAAAGTGAAACTATCTATTAGTATATAATTTATCATTCGATATATATATATATATATTGCAATTGCACCCAAAAGAACTCTAAAAAATGCATGGGAATCATTTGCAACTGACAACAATGAAAATTATACTTAAATTTCACTGAAATGAACCCTCAAAATGTAATGTATTATTGAAATTAAGGAGTTTATTTAATACTTTCAAAATAGGTTTTTAAATTTGGAATGGTAAAGATACAAAGTAGAAAGGATTCAAAGCATAAATTGGATAACCATTCATGTTCAAGTACCAGAAATAAATCCTTTTTGAGACAAAACCAGAAGGTTTCCTTGCAAACAGGAACCTCCTCACTCCTCAGAGTAGACCAAGCTCAAATCAAACCGAATTAGAGAGGTAAGGAACTAAAACGAACCAAGTGAGATCTCAGAGACGTAATGGCAACATGATTAGAAGACAAGGGACTAACATAGAAATAAACAAATCAATGTAAAAATACTCCATCCTCGATTGGTGACATGGAGGCCATGCAGCTCGACGAGCTGCCCAAGTGGGTCCCCATAATTTGTTGGTGCTTGCGTGGCACCATGGTTGCTTGCTTCAAGTTTCCTTCTTCTACAGCTAGCATCATTTGCAGCTAAGCCCTGGACAAACCCCGAAAACTGAAATCCCACTTTTATTGCATTGTCATTTTGTCCCCATGCAATTTTCCAGGTGTTGCAAGAAAACACTTTTCAAGTGCATGCACTCATTTTTTCTCAATCCCCCTCTAATCCCCCTCTAGGCCCTCTATATATATTCCTCTCTTTCCTTCTATTTTCTTCATCTCATTTACATTCTTTCTTGCTTTCATCTTCTTTCTCTCTGTCCAAACAGAGTCAAGAAAGAACGTAAGAAGCAAAATGTTGGGGGATATCATGCCGGGCTTGGCCATGGTTCTGGTGCAGGTAGGCTTCGCTGGAATGAACATCACCTCCAAACTGGCCATGGAATCCGGCATGAAACCTCTTGTTCTCGTTGCTTACCGTCAAATCTTTTCCGTTATTGCCACCGCCCCCTTTGCTTTTTTCATGGAGCGGTAATAATCTATTCAAGAAAACAACCTTTTTTCTTTCCTTTTTCAGCTTCTTTATGTAGTACGTCTAATTGAAGCAAATGGTTTTTTTTTTTTTTTTCTTTCTCTCTGATTATCTTTAATATCTTTAATATGGGCTCTGTTTGGTTTCTGGGAAATGCAAGAAAGAGTTTTCCTTTCAAAAGAATTTAATTAAAAGTTCACGGGAATAAATTATTGAACTTTTCTCAGAAATTTGTTCTACTTTTGAAAGAAAAAGTGAAGTTGAGCCTGTGCATGGCTTGCAACCTTTTTTTGCCCGTTAGCTGGGCCCCTGTATAACGTGAAAGTCGGTGCCATTAATTATATTCCAAGAAAAAAAAATTAAAGAACCCAAAACTAAAACTAAAATCTCCAAATTAAATCACAAATTTGGGTTATTTTGCATGTGCAAATATAGTTCTGTTTGGATGCCTGGAAAATTGTTTCTTAGGAAAACTCTGTTTTTGTACAATTAGAAGAAGTTTCTAACTCTTTTTTCTGGTTATAATTTGAGCAGGAAGACAAGACCCAGGATCACAATGCCAATACTGTTCCAGTTGTTCTTGTGTTCAATTACGGGGTAAGCACTGTTTTGATTTTGAACTTTTGGGGTTTAGCTTATGAATTTCCTTCAAAATATTGCCATAGATGCTGAAACATACAAGGAAATTAACATTAATCTTACGCAGGGCAACTGCAAACCAGGTGTTTTACTTTCTTGGACTTGAGTATTCAACCCCAACAATTGCATGTGCCTTGAACAATCTCCTCCCTGCAGTCACTTTTGTCCTTGCAGCACTTTGCAGGTGCTTGGAATTTGAACCTGAGACCTTTCAATAACATATATAATTTGTGACTTTTACTACTAGTACTACTACCGTATCCAAGGACTTATCGATTTTGTTTTTGTTTTCTGGTCTTACTAGGTTAGAAAATGTGGGAATAAGGACTGCAGCAGGGCAGGCAAAGGTTATAGGAACCATTGTATGTGTTGGTGGATCCATGTTATTGTCTTTTTACCATGGACACCTCATTGACATAAAAGAATCCAGCATTCATTGGCAATATGCCGAGAATATGAATGATTCAAGTTCCAACAACGGGACAAACTTCCTCGGTCCTTTTCTAGTCATGGCCAGCTGTGTTGCTTGGGCTGCCTGGTTCATAATCCAGGTCCATACTTAACCTCAAAACACTTTATTCCTTTCACTTTTTCTTTCTTTTCTGTTTTTTTTTTTTACTTTGTCCATACTAAATAAATCATTTTCAATCATCAATGATTTTCATTTTCAGGCGCGACTAGGGAAGAAGTTCCAGGCACCTTACACAACAACTACAGTGATGTGTTTCATGTCCAGCATTGAGTGCACTGCCATTGCTTTCATTTCCGAACATACAATTTCTGCCTGGTCATTGCGCTCTAGTATAAGACTTATTGCATCTTTATATGCGGTATGTTTTACGACCAAGACAAACACACATTTAATAAAAATGTAAAAATAATTGTGTTATGAAATTTGAGTTGCGTGCCTTATTTGATTTACCATTAACTTTTAGGGGATTGTGTGTAATGCGCTGGCATTTTGCCTAACGACATGGAGCATAGAAAAGAAAGGACCTCTCTATGCCTCGGTGTTCAGTCCTTTGTTGTTGGTGATTGTGGCAGTAGTAAGTTGGGCACTGCTACACGATAAATTATTCATTGGAACGTAAGTAATGTATACATTGATTGATTCAACCATGTCTTTAGCATTAGGACGACAGAGGTATGACTAATTATATATGCATTGATTCAGTCTTGTAGGATCTGTTCTTATCGTTGCTGGACTTTATGCTGTTCTGTGGGGAACGGATAAAGAGGCTAAACAATTGAAAACCGTAGATGAAATGGAAACAAAGCAAGGTGATCAGAAGGATGACTTGGAACTCCAGGTTGAGAAGAATCATGATTATCCTATTAAGATACCGCAAAAGCTCGATCGATCCTGTGCCGTTTTAAAGTAGATGTTATGTAGCGTTTGTAGCAAGAAGAAGGCTGTTACTGTTTCCCCTCTAGGGAGGAAGTAGATGTTTAACCTATTATGTATGTTTTGACTTATAAATTTCCAATGCAAGAAAGTCCTCTAGGTTAGGGCTGCCACGATGGTTTCGATTTAATCAAAATCAATATTTGAACTATTTGCTTCTTGTTTTCTCTATTTTTACTAATTAAAACTCAAACAAAAATATTTATAAATTTTTGGTTTGATAACTAAAATATTTAGTTTTAATATTTTGGTAATCAATTTTAACCAAATTAATATTGAATGCCTATTTCAAGTCTAATAATGATTATAATTAATTAAAATTTAGAATTTTTATGGGATATAAATATAACAAAATATAAAAAAGATAGATAAACAAAAGCAAAGTCTGAATTTTGAATTTTTTTTTTTTTACTTTTGGATATATTTTAAATTTAAATACTAAATTATAACCAAATTTATAAGGTAAAACTTAAAAATGAAATTGAATAAGATGACTTTTATGTTTATTTGTAATATTTAAATAACAATTATTTATTTATTAATATAAAATTTTATTTTTTGGTTATATATTTGGTTTTAGTTTTTCAATCTTCTAACCATTAACGAACCAAATTTTTTTAGTTATCAGACTAATTTTTTTTAAAAAAGCTAACAACTATTTATAACTAGCCAATTGGTCAATTTTTTATTTGTTTTTGGTTCACTATTAGAGAACAAGGTTTAATTAACAAAAATTTTTGTCAATTATAAGGAAAATTTTGTTGGTTACAAGAATAATCAATAGATATATATAATTGACAATCAAATCTATTGACCAAATAAGAGTTGAAAATACGTATCAACAGTTTGTTGATTAAACAAAGTACAAAACAACTATATTTAATATTAAAAATAGAATAATAGATAGAAATTGGTTTGTCGATTATGTTTCTTAAAAAATGGAAAAAACCATAATTGATGGCTAATAGTTGCCGATTATATTCAGTTTAGCAAAAAAAAAAATTTATTTGTAAATCAAATAAAAGTAACTGAGTGATAAATGAAAATAACAAAAATAAATGAAAATAAGAAAAAAAAAATCTTGGGATGAAAGAATGAAAGAAGATGAAGGAAAGTAGAAGGATGGCAACCAAAAATGAAAATAGAAAAGATAGAAGGAATGATGAAATAAAAGTAAGTAAAAACATAAAGGAAAGATGAAGAAGCATGAATTAGAAAGGTAGAAGAAAAGGGGAGGATGGAAGAAGAAAGAAAAAATGAAAATGAAAGGCAGAAGAAGAAGAAAGAACAGAGGGAGAAGAGAAACGAGAGCAACACATCTATGGGAAGGGAAGGAGGAGGGGGAAATAGATGAGGAGATATTTGTTGGTTTTGTTTTTGTATCCATATGTATATAGCACTACAAGAAAATCCACCTTTAGTGACTAAATTATTAGTCATTAAACTTTTATTTTTGGTCACAAATTAAAATTAGTGATGAAATTTAAATTATTAGTAAAATCCTTATCACTAATATTTTTAGTGACAAATTTGACACTTGTCACAGAAAAAGAATTTTATAGTGACGAAAGAAATCTACATTATTAATGAGTCATTTGTAATAGATTTAGTCATCACAAAAAAATGTTTTTGTTACAATAATTTTCATCACAAATATTACAATTGAGTGACAAAAAAAAGTCACAAATGCAGTTGTGCTGAAAAATTTAGTCATTAATTATTAAAACTAATATTAAATAAAAAAGATATTTATATAATTACAACACAAATATTGTAAAAAAAATTCTGTCATAAAAAATTAATATATAAATTTATCACAAAAGTTTAATAAAAATATTATTATTTCAACACTAATCAGTTTTAATTAAAATTAATCAAGCCCCGATTAAAATTAATCGGGCTCAAACTAAGCTCAAGTTTTATTGAGCTTCACATTGTATTGGTTAAATAGAACTCAAATAAATAAAATTAAGCACAAGTGTCAATGAATGAGTTTGCAAGTAGTCACTAGTTTTATAATGCAAAACTTTATTTTTTTAAATATTTCTCATTGATGTGAGATTTATTTATAATGCAAAACCTTATTTTCTTATGTGTTTTTTTTCGATGTGGGATGTATTAATTAAAAAAAAACTTAAAATAAAGCTGAATTGTAGTGATGATTTTTCTCATCACAAGTATGTATTCTTTTTGTGACAATTTTTAGTGCCAAAATATATTTTTAATGAAGAATTATTTGGTCATCATTGAATATGTAAGGTATATATGATCAATATTTGAAATTTGTTTTAATTGGGATGAGTTATAGTGATGATTTTTATTGTTACAAACTTGTTTTTTATTTATGATATTTTTTAGTGATGAAATATGTTTTGAATGATAATTTTTTTTATCATTATTGAATATACTTATATTTGTGACTAATTTTTAAATTTTGTTACAAATGTAATGAGTTATAGTGTTAATTTCAACATTTGTCACAATATTTTGTCACTAAAAATCTCATTTCTTGTAGTGTAGGTGAAATATATTTCACAAAAATTTCATCATTATGTTTTAAAATGGCTAATGGTTATATTTTGAATCTGATCAATTACAAAATTCAACTTTTTTTGGGTGAAGAAAGTAGTATGAGTATAACTAACAGCATGATATAGTTGTTGATTATGTTTATATAACTAACAACATTATTGTCGATTATACAATTATAATCGATAGTAATATGGCTGTTGATTATATATTAATTTGTTTGTAACCTTCTGTCATAGTAGAAAATTGATGTGTAGATTCTTTGTAATAAAAAATTTATTACCATTAAAAAAATTAGCATCACCAAATGTGAGATTTTTTTTAATTAATATTATATATATTGATTAATATGAACTCCAATACTACACATTTATTATTGGTTAAGTCATTATGTATATACAAAATATATACTAAATAATAGCATATAAGTATTTATATAGAAATTAAGTGCACTACACATGCATGAAAATATATGCCTTAAGCATAAAATATCAATGTTCTTAAGTAAGGGTGATAACTGACAGCCATAAAATATCGATATCCATAACTCCATCTTAGAAAATTCCCCCTCCAATGTTTCTTGCTTGATTATTGGATGTCTTTCCATGATATACCATGGCTACAAAGAGGGGGAAGCATATTTGGAAAGAGGAGGAAATAGACCTGCAAAGCTTACCCAATGCGATGCCCAAGATTTGCTGTAGATGTAGCAGGCAAGGCAGCTTCGTTCGCTGGAGAAGAAAGTAAATCAAGAGGAGAACACTACTAGAAAACAAGGTTTAATCCACAGAAATTTTTTTAGATTATAAGGGAAATTCTATCGATTATAAGTATAATCAACAGATATAATCGACAGCTAATTTTGTTAAATTAACAAGTGTTGAAAATCAGTATAATCAACAAAAATGTTTTGTCAACAACATTTTTGTATAATCGACAACTTTTTCTGTTGATTATATTTTCTCCAACAATAAAAAAAATTAGAATTAAAAAATGTAAAATTAAATTTTTAATCTTGTAATTATTAATTAAATTATAAAGTCATTAAATAAAATTTAATGATAAAATCAATTAAGTGCAACAATAATATATATACTAATTTTGAAAATAATTGAAAAATAAGAACAATATTTAAATATTATGAGGCTAATAGAAAAGCAAGATAAATGACAAGTAATTTACCTATAATGAAATTAAAAAATTTGTAAAAAAAAAAGAAAAAGTATTGTTATACATTATAAGATTTTATTCAAATAAAAACAAATGAAAATATAAATCAAAATGTGAATTTACCTCATAAAACAATTTTAAGCTCAATAATCTACAAAAATAAAAGTGAAAATTTATTAGTAGATAAAAAAAAATTGAATGATAAATGAAAATAACAAAAAAAAAAAAGAAAAAAAAAATCTTGAGATGAAAGAATGAAAGAAAATGAAGGAAAAGTAGAAGGATGACAACCACAAATGAAAATAGGAAAAGTAAAAGGAATTGAATGATGAAAGAAAGGAAAGGGAGAAGAAGAAGAAGAAGGAGGAGGA